TCACTACCTAAAGCCCCACGTTTGCGAGAGCATTTCCAGTCGATGGTGTGTTATAATGCAGTTCTTCTTTACCCAACTATTGTGTTGCTCCTCTCGTCATGACCAACGTGATCATCTCAGAGAGAAAGCAGTAGGGTGGTTGTTGCGTGCTGTACCATCATCAGCATTGTTGACGGCTACTCCCGCCTTGAGTTGTTACATTCAAAGTGTTTTTTATGTTACTTCATACGCGAAGTTAACGATTTTCAGAGTTGGTTGGAAATGCTAACATGAAGCTTTAGTGTGATGATTTATTAGCTAGAGAATGATCTTTGGAAGAGGGTAGGTGGATAGTTCCGTTAGAGTACGGCAGTATGAAAATTGAATAGAAGTTGAAAATGAGCGAAGGGCCATTAAAGCGACAGTTTACAAGATGGACGCACATTTTTGCCTAGCCCGTACGATGTACGCGGGGACTTGAAGTATGTCTCCAAGTCCACAGGCAAAAATGTGCGTCCCTCCTGTTGCTCATAAACTGACTGCGGCTGTGGAATAGTTCTAGCGACGTTTTCATCACTACCTAAAGCCCCACGTTTGCGAGAGCATTTCCAGTCGATGGTGTGTTATAATGCAGTTCTTCTTTACCCAACTATTGTGTTGCTCCTCTCGTCATGACCAACGTGATCATCTCAGAGAGAAAGCAGTAGGGTGGTTGTTGCGTGCTGTACCATCATCAGCATTGTTGACGGCTACTCCCGCCTTGAGTTGTTACATTCAAAGTGTTTTTTATGTTACTTCATACGCGAAGTTAACGATTTTCAGAGTTGGTTGGAAATGCTAACATGAAGCTTTAGTGTGATGATTTATTAGCTAGAGAATGATCTTTGGAAGAGGGTAGGTGGATAGTTCCGTTAGAGTACGGCAGTATGAAAATTGAATAGAAGTTGAAAATGAGCGAAGGGCCATTAAAGCGACAGTTTACAAGATGGACGCACATTTTTGCCTAGCCCGTACGATGTACGCGGGGACTTGAAGTATGTCTCCAAGTCCACAGGCAAAAATGTGCGTCCATCTTGTAAACTGTCGCTTTAATGGCCCTTCGCTCATTTTCAACTTCTATTCAATTTTCATACTGCCGTACTCTAACGGAACTATCCACCTACCCTCTTCCAAAGATCATTCTCTAGCTAATAAATCATCACACTAAAGCTTCATGTTAGCATTTCCAACCAACTCTGAAAATCGTTAACTTCGCGTATGAAGTAACATAAAAAACACTTTGGATTGTATTTACAGTTTTCGGTAAATTTATGTAATTTACGGAAATTCAGTAGTTTTGATTGCGGAGAATTGGTAAAATAATATGTTTTACAAAACTTTCGGTGAAAATGGTATTTTACAGAACGTATCCAGCAAAAAAAGTACCGAAAAATATTTAAGATATTTGGTGTGCACTTCCGGTTTCTGAAATGTGGGAAATACTGTACAATACTTATAAATATGAGTAATTTTGGAATCAGGGTTTTGCCTAGAGACCAAAAATCGATAACGGACGCCATTTTGAGATCCAAGTTTGTGGCTTCCGGCTTAAGAAAAAGTATCAAATACCGAGGGGGGCGACTCTATCTACGATGTAGCAAAAATTGTATTTTTTGTGGTTAGCTTCGCGCGAACATTTTTCGATGATTGATTCGCTAGTGTGAGCATCTAGAATTGAAATTTAGATGTGTCGCCCCCCTCGTCAAATACCCATCAATATGGGTATTTTCACATCCAACACATCAAAGATTTTCAAACAAAATTTGACATCAAGAATTTAACTCGTTTGACATTAGAACCAAACGTTTTTGGGATATTTTTAGATTTTATTTTCGTTCATTTGTTTTTCGTCGTTATTGTTTTCCGTGCTGAGCACCAATGCTACCGACGCCAGGGAGGCAACTCCGTACCTATCGACCCATCAACTCATGAACAGGGGACCAACGGCTTTACTTCCCGTGATCAGAGATGTTATGCCACAGAACATCACGGCGGCGCCAACTGGGATTGAACACAGGCCTGCTGGGGTGATAGGCAATCACGCTTACCACTACACCACCGGCGCCGCTTAATGTTTTTACATGTACAAACAAAACTTTTTTCGGACGTTTTCAGTTTATTGTTCACTTATGCTTTCAAATGTACTAAACGTTGTTCAGATGTTTTCAAATAGGGATGCTGATCGATTCATCTTTCATGTTCCACCTAGTGGACACTTTTAAAAGAGTTGAACTTTCCTGTTTCCCTGCTCATCGGAGCCTTGTGTTCGGCAGTTTTGCCGTGGTCCTTCGGGAGAGAGAGAGAGAGAGAGGTTTACTTCGCTGGTGGCTGTAGTGGTTACAGCTGTCGGCAGCTTAACGACTGGTGGCTGAAGAGTTATCGGCGACCCATCGTTCCTACGCTGTCCGCTGTGGTGTGCGCAGCCAACGGTGCATCGTCCCTTCTCTGGTAGCTGGGGTGTGCACAGCTGTCAGTGGCTCATCGTCCCACTACTGGTGGCTGTGAGGTTGCACAGCTGTCGGTGGCTTGATCACGAGTTGTGTCGTGGTCCTTCGTTCGAGAGAGGCATCCCGTCGCTGGTCGCTGTAGCGTGTACAGCCAACGGTGACTCTTCGATCCATTCGCTGGTGGCTGTTAAGTGCATAGCTGTCGGTGGCTCGATCACAAGGTATGTTTTCGTCTGTGCTGTTGTGGTAAGGGAAATGAATCTACCCCAAGAGAAATTGAGTACATAACAATTGGTCCTTCGAGCCGGATATCAACCGGTGTGCTACGTCCATCCGCGAATTTTCGTGACCCTTCCTTCCAACGAGTTTGTGCCCGAATGAGTGAAAAGTGTTTGAAACCTACGATCGTAGTACAGTAGTACCATAGAGGTAACTCTAAGACCACTGGGTCCCGAAGAAAATCATTATTATTTTTGGCTCAATCAGTACCAGAACAACGGTCCCAAGCAGTCCCAAGCTATTTCACTCACCCCTGCATGTTCTGCATGAATCCACACACCCCTGATGTTATCTGTCAAACTTTCATAGCGAATCAAAACAAACATAGTGTAGTAATAGAATTTCAACTAGAATAGGGTACGTTAATCGTTTGCTTGGGACCAATAGGCTACTAAAGTGGTGAGCCAATTTAAAATCGTTAGTTTCGTATTGATTGTTGGTAGTACCATAGAGGTAACTCTAAGACTAGAAGGTCCCGAAATAACGTGATCAACTTTTTGGCTCAGCTCTGGTACTCTCTTCGGTCCCAAGCTAATCGATTCACCCCTCGAAACATAGGAAAAACCAATCACCCCTCAATTTATCTGTCAAACTTTCATAGCGAATCAAAACAAACATTGCGTAGTACTAGAATTTTGACTAGAATGGGATACGTTAATCGTTTGCTTGGGACCAATAGGCTAGTCAAGTAGTGAGCCAATTTAAAATCGTTAGTTTCGTATTGATTGTTGGTAGTACCCTTAAAAACTGTGAGTGTTGAGAGTGAACTGTAGTGAAAAGTGTAATCATGACGAAATTGAAGCAATTAATTCATCAACGCGGACAAGTAAAAGCGACAATGATCGTCGAGAAGCTAAACGAAGCTATGGATGAACCTGAAACAGCGAGCCTTTCCCAGTTGAAGGCTTATGAGAAGAAATTGGAACTACATTATTCGAAGCATGACTTGATCGTGGCCCAGTGTACTAGTGAAAACATGGAGGATCAGGACAATAAGTTGGACGAGTTCGACGAGCTGCACACGGAGGCGTTAGTGAAGCTGAATCAACTGTTGGAGTTACTTCGTGCTAATCCACAACCTACTAATGGAGTTCCCCAAGTGATTGTGACTCAGCAACCTCTGAAGAAACCGATCCTAACCTTTGATGGGAAGTACGAAGCTGGCCAAAATTCAAAGCTCTCTTCAATGACTTGGTCCGAAAGTGTGGCGACTCCGATGCAACTAAACTGCAATACCTGGACAAGGCGCTGATCGGTGAAGCTTCCGGTATCCTTAATGCGAGAATTATCAACAACAACAACTATCAGCAAGCATGGGTGTTGTTAGAGGAGCGCTTTGAAAATCCGAGAGTGATTATTGACACCCATATTTCCGGTTTATTGTCGATGAAACCGATAGCCAAACAAAGCTTCAAGGAGCTAAGAAACCTTATCGATACATGCAATCGCCACGTGGAAGGATTGCGGTTCATGGAGCAGGAGGTTGTTGGAACAGCCGGTTTAATCGTGGTGAAGCTACTTACAATGTGCCTTGATGGAGAAACGCGGAAGCAGTGGGAGCTCACCATGGAGCACGGAGAACTTCCTGACCTCGAAGAATCAATGAAGTTCCTAAGAAGTTATTGCCAGGTACTTGAGAGATGTGAAGTAGACAAGGCGTCCTCAGCTAAGGCAGCTGTTAAGCCTCCTATGATGAGGAAAACCAGCTCATCGCAAAGAACCTAAAATCCAGCAACATCCAGTTCATCGGAGAACGTGTGTGAAATATGCGTGGGTCAACACTGCAATTACAAGTGTCCTTCTTTCTTGAGCATGAGTGTAGATCAGCGTGTTACCAAGGTGAAGCAATTCGGACTATGTTTCAACTGCCTTAGGAAAGGCCATCAAATCAGGGCTTGTCCATCAGATAAGTCATGCTCGAGGTGTTCCAAAAAGCATCATACCATGTTGCACTTCGAGCAGGTATCCCAAGCTGAGCCGAAGCAGAAAACACCAGGTGGAACATCCAAGCCACAGGAGATGCATACAGCAGCAGCTGTTCCTGAGGATCCTGTGTCTACAGCCTGTTGCAGTATGCAACAATGAGCGAAACAAGTGTTTTTGATGACCGCATTGGTGAATGTTACGTCAAAGAGTGGAAGGAACTTCAAGTTGCGTGCTCTCTTCGATTCCGGGTCTCAGATCAACCTGGTTTCTGAATCTGCTGTAAAACGGCTAGCGCTTCCGAAGTATCCTGCCAACGTGCCAGTCGTAGCAATGGGTGGCGCCAGATCTCAAATTCATCATCGTGTGATCCTGAAGTGTTTCTCCGACTACACCGATTTCCAAAGTGACATGGACTGTTTGGTGACAGCTAGAGTGACAGGAAAGATTCCATCTGTTCCAGTTGACATCTCGGAGTGGAAGTTCTCGAGTGGTATTGTGTTGGCCGATCCAAGCTTCAACGAACAGAGAGAAGTGGACCTACTGACGGTGCCAAGCTGTTTTTCAAAATCCTGAAACAAGCTCAGCTGAAACTCTCTGATAAACTACCCGTACTGTACGAGACTCAGTTCGGATGGGTTATTTCCGGTGCTTTAAAAGAGTCCGAGGAGGAAGTCATCAACGTGCTGTGCGCCACAAATGAAGATCTGTTGCTGAAGAGCATTCAGAGGTTTTTCGAGCAAGAAGAACTTCCAGAAGAAAGGGTGCTGACGAATGAAGAGCAAGCGATAGAAGATCACTTCTACAAAACTTATCGACGAGATGAGGATGGCCTATTCGTGGTTCAAATACCATTCCGTGAGTCCATCAATGAACTAGGAAACTCCCTATCATTAGCGTTGAAGAGGTTCCTGTCAATTGAGAAACATCTAACCATTAAACCCGAGATGAAAGAGATGTACCAAGAGTTTATGCAGGAGTACAAGGACCTTGGTCATTGCCACGAGATCCGTGAGGAAGACCATCCGCCTGGCCAACAGAGTTACTATTTGCCACATCAGGCTGTACTTAAACCTACGAGTACCAGCACAAAGTTACGTGTTGAATTTGACGCCAAGGTGAAGTCTAACGGATTATCCCTCAACGAAGTTCTGATGATTGGCCCGAAGATTCAGAACGATCTGTTTACAATCCAATTACGTTTCCGGATGCACATATATGCTTTTTCTGGAGACGTTGAGAAAATGTTTAGACAAGTGAAACATTACCACAGAACTTTCTGGCGTGACCAACCGATGGACCCGATAAAAGTGATGGAGTTGTTAACGGTGACCTACGGGACGTCTCCTGCATCGTTTTTGGCAGTGAGGTCCATGGTTCAACTAGCGAAGGAGGAAAGAGCCAACTTTCCTGCAGCTGCAGAGGCGATATTAGAGGACTGCTATATGGGCGATATATTGAGTGGTGCCCCAACGCTTGCATCCGCGAAGCAACTGCGAAGTGATATCGAGGAGCTTATGATGAAAGGAAAATTTCCTATCCGAAAATGGTGTACTAACGACGACGAAGTTCTTGAAGGTGTTCCGGATCAAGACCGTGAAAAGCTAATTCGAATAGGAGATTCTGGTACCAACGAAGCGATTCGAGCCTTAGGTGTTCTGTGGGACCCAAGATGTGATCAGTTCCTGTTTTGGAGAAGCCCGGAACTGATGCAACCGGATTTGAAGGTGACTAAAAGGAATGTTCTCTCTAAAATCGCCAAACTGTATGATCCCCTTGGCCTAATATCACCTGTGACCGTTTTGGCTAAGTCCATCATGCAGCAACTGTGGGCTGATGGTCTGGGATGGGACGAGACCCTAGAGAGCGAGTTTTGAGTAGATGGGTGACCTTACATCAGTCGTTGGTACAACTGAACGAGATACGAATACCGAGGTGTGTTATGGCTCCTGGAGCTCAACGTATTGAGATTCACGGTTTCTCTGATGCGTCGTGTACTGCTTATGGTGCTTGTGTTTATTTGCGTTGTGTTCAGGAAAACGGGGCAGTGTCAGTTAGGCTGCTTTGCAGTAAGTCAAGGATTGCGTCGTCTCACAATACCTAGATTAGAGCTGTGTGCCGCTGTGGTATTGGCCAAACTGGTTAGTGTAGTGATCCCTATTCTGAAAACCGAATTCCACGATATCAAGCTGTGGTCTGATAGCCAAATTGTGCTGGCATGGATAAAGAAGAATCCGGATCAACTTCAAGTCTACGTCAGAAACCGAGTTTTGGATATTAACAAACTGACTAGTGCCTACGAGTAGAAATACGTCAGATCCGAGAATAATCCTACGGATTTGGTGTCCAGAGGGTGTTACCCTGGAGTGTTGCATCGTTCTGATATGTGGTGGAATGGTCCACTATTTCTGCAAGATGTTAACTACGATATCCAAGAGAATCCGGTGATTCAAGATGAAGAGTTACCAGAAATGCGACAAGTTCAAGTGTGTAACCCAGCGGTCGGTGTTGAAGACGATCCGGTATGCGAGCGGTGTGGATCGTTTTCAAGGCTGCAACGTGTATTGGCGCAGGTGGTGAGATTCACTCGACTGACACGAATGAAAAGGGAGAATCGTAAACATGCAAGATACATTTCTGTGCAAGACATGCGGAAGGCATTGGAGTAAATAGTAAGGATTTTGCAGAGGACCGGATTGAACGAGGAGATCCAGTGTGTTCAGCGTAAGGAGTTGCCGAAGCGATTCGCGAATCTTCAACCATTCCTGGACGAAGAAGGTTTCCTTCGCGTCGGCGGGCGTCTACAAAACTCTAAATTACCGTATGACGCCAAGCACCAATTACTTCTTCCACGCAATCACCGAGTGACGGAAATATTGATTCGTCAATATTACGAGGAGAGACTGCATGAAGGGCCATCCGCCATCCGAAAAGTGACTCGAAGCTGTGTAAAGTGTTTCAGGACTAAGCCGAGAGTAATTCAGCCCTTAATGGGAAATTTGCCGGAGGAGTGTGTGAATGTAGCAGCAGCGTTCGAATTCACTGGTGTGGATTACGCCGGCCCAGTGATTGTGAAAGAAGGAAGGTATAAGCCAAAACACGTAAAGGTATACATTGCACTGTTTGTCTGCCTAACGACTAAATCGATTTACCTCGAATTGATTTCGGATTTGACATCCGAAGCTTTTCTAGCCGCTTTGGATCGTTTTATCAACCGTCGTGGAATGGTTCGTAAAATTATGTCTGATAACGCGACCAATTTTATTGGTGCTTCGAAAGAACTCCACAAATTGTACTTGATGTTCCGTGACGAGACCACAAGAACGAAGATCAACGATTTTCTGCTCAAACGAGAAATTGAGTGGGAATTCATTCCGCCTAGATTACCCAACTTTGGGGGTTTGTGGGAGGCAGGAGTGAAGGTTGTCAAGTTCCACATATATCGGACTTTGGGCAACGCAATTTTGACGTTTGAGGAGTTCGGAACAGTATTGACCCACATCGAAGCCATAGTGAATTCCCGACCCTTGTATGCATTGTCTGAGGACCCAAACGAACCGCTTCCGATAACACCTGCTCATTTGATGATTGGAAGACCATTGGAACCGATTTTGAAGCCGTCGTACTCCGATGTAGCAGTGAACCGTCTGTCTCGCTATCAGTATATGAAAAATTTGCGTGATCGGTTTTGAGCAAAGTGGTCGCATGATTATCTATCAACGCTTCAATCGAGGGCAAAGTGGACAAAAAGTGAACCAAATGTGAAAATGGGTACTATTGTGCTACTGATGGAAGACAATATACCAGTTCAGTCATGGAGGTTGGGTCAAATTGCTGCACTTTACCAGAGAAGGGATGACGTGATCAGAGTCGCCAACGTGAAAACTGCAACGGGAGTATTCCGGCGCTCCATTCGTAAGTTGGCGCCTCTTCCTATTACCGACAACGACCAATCGAAGATTTCCGCTTTTGGAATGGTATTCCAACCGGCGGGAGTATGTACGCGATGAACGCTTCCAGTAGGAAAATGAACGACGTCATCGAATGGCGCATCCTGATTGGCTGACGCAGCCGAAGAAAGAGAATAAAAGTAAACAACATTGCAATTCATGTTTCATTCAGTATCCTGCATTTAACCATTGAAGAGGAAGCAGCGAATAAATAAAGGCAGAATTGAGAACAGTGTCTCATTCTTTTCGTCCGAGAACGGAGATTTCCCGAACATTCGTGCTTCGTCCAGTTCCTGTTCGTTCATCCACTGGTTGCATGTGGTGATCGATTCATCTTCCAAGTTCCACCTAGTGGACACTTTTAAAAGAGTTGAACTTTCCTGTTTCCCTGCTCATCGGAGCCTTGTGTTCGGCAGTTTTGCCGTGGTCCTTCGAGAGAGAGAGAGAGAGAGAGAGAGAGAGAGAGAGAGAGAGAGAGAGAGAGAGAGAGAGAGAGAGAGAGAGGTTTACTTCGCTGGTGGCTGTAGTGGTTACAGCTGTCGGCAGCTCAACGACTGGTGGCTGAAGAGTTATCGGCGACCCATCATTCCTACGCTGTCCGCTGTGGTGTGCGCAACGGTGCGTCGTCCCTTCGCTGGTAGCTGTGGTGTGCACAGCTGCCAGTGGCTCATCGTCCCACTACTGGTGGCTGTGAGGTGCACAGCTGTCGGTTGCTTGATCACGAGTTGTGTCGTGGTCCTTCGTTCGAGAGAGGCATCCAGTCGGTGACTCTTCGATCCATTCGCTGGTGGCTGTGAAGTGCATAGCTGTCGGTGGCTCGATCACAAGGTAGGTTTTCGTCTGTGCTGTTGTGGTAAGGGCAATGAATCTACCCCAAGAGAAATTGAGTACATAACTAATGTTTTCAGTTGTACAACATTTTAGAATCAATCATTTTTCGGATGCTTTCAATTGTACCCAGATTTTATTGTTTTCTGAAGTTTTCAACTGTGCAAAACATTAGAATCTCATTTTTTTAAATGCTTTTAATTATGAAACACATTAGAATTACATACCGTAAAACGGGGTATCTTTGATAATGCGGGTAACTTTGATAGTATAATATAAAGAATAAATTTTCTTGCTGTGCTTTTTCCAAATAAAAAACATTGGTTCCATATTGTAGCTTAGGGTATTTCCGTTGATACACAGCAAAAAAATAATTTTGATATCACGTCAAAGTGGATGCACTACAATCATGTCGAAAATATGGTGTAATATTACTTGCTAAAAAAGACAAAATTATCATTAATACAACGCATGAACTGACATTACGCTGCTTTTACTGCATTTGTTTATTTATGTGGTCATAAAAATTACATGAAATTTTCGACATGATTGTAGTGCATCCACTTTGATGTGATATCAAAATTATTTTTTTGCTGTGTATGGTATATAGTTTTTATATAGTCTGTGTTACATATTTTACAAAAATATTAAAAAACTATTTTCGTGTTTTTCACCTTTTTGAAAAAGCGCTCAAACCATCACTTTTGAAATGTATTCTTATTGCTTATGAAGTTTTCTGTTTATATACTCATTCAAAGTTTCATATTTAAAGAACTAAATTGTTTGAGTTTCACTCATTTTTTTTCTACATTCATCGAGCATTATCAAAGTAACCCCAAATCAAAATACTGAAGTTCGGTGAGAAAACTAAAAAAAATAGTGCAAATGCTTTAATTTTCGTTCAACATATTATCACAAACGAAGTGACAGACGGAGCGGCTCGAAAACTTTGGTGACGCACCTGCTAATGTAATTTTCAGTCTACCACATGGCAACACCACTACTACTGGATTGTGCCACATGGCAACACTACTAATGGATTGTACCACATGGCAACACTAAATGTACTAGAATGTTTTGGTTCTATCTCTTTCACTCTACTCTAAACTGAAATGCATAAAAAAATGACAAAATGATACACTCTTTGCACACTGTCAAAGATCATATTGCACACAAAATCAACTATGTTCAAATCAAAACAAAAATACTAGCCCATCTGGTGGCTGATGGCCC